CCATGGCGGCAAGGCACAGTCGCCCTCACCATGGGCTGCACCACAGGCTGCCGGGAACCTCTGTTCCAGTGCCTGGAGCACCTCCTGCCCCCCTTCTCCACTGACCAGGGGCTGCAGGGTTCAAATCTCTCACACATCCTCACCCCTCTCTCCCGCTGCAGTTGCTGGGGTTGTGCAGGTTTCTTTTCCCCTCCTCAAACCTGTTATCCCAGAGGCACCATTACCACCACTGATGGGCTTGGCTTTGGCCAGCAGTGGGGTCTGTCTCAGGGCCACTGGCATCAGCTCTCTTGGGCACAGGGGTGGGCTTCCAGCACCTTCTCACAGAAGCTGCCCCTGTCGCCCTCCGCTACCAAACCCTTGCCCTGCAACCCCAATACACATATCTTGGTCTAATTGTGACCTGCACAAAACACAGTTTTTGAACTGATTATAAAAAAGTGGTAATTTAGAAGCCAAATTCAAACTGAAAATGCATGTTTAAACAACTGCTCTCACAAACCAGAAGTGTGCTATTTTTCACAGGTACTTCTGGAAATATTTTAAAGTAGTAACTTAAAAAACTGTAAATAGAACATGTGATATAAATGTTTTTATTCATAAAATACCTAAATTACAGACCTGAAGCGCTTGTTCAGCACATAAAACATATAAGTCAGTGCTGAAGTGATCTGACGAGTCGAGTGCAGACTTCCCTTGACTGGCTGATTTGATCAGCTCATAGGCATTCTTTAAAGCCTGAGCATCTGAAATAAAGAAGGAATAAAGAATGTAACAGATAATTCATGCTTCAAGATGAACTCAGACATGATTGCACTGTTCCAAACCCAGTACGTGGCAACCTGTGTGTCCTTTACACAAATAAATTATGAAAACGTAAGGCAAATAATGTCAAACCAGTGCTGCTCAGAGTCATCCACAGCTGAAAGATGCAGCACTAACAGCTCTTGCTAGAGAGAATCACTGCTGTGACCACACAAGAACGTGAGCTACTCTGAGGCCTGATCCCCGATCCCCACGTTGTGCCGACACAGAAATTCAAGATTCGATCCTGAAAGCTTTACAGGAGGTAAGCGTGACCGGAAGAAAACCCAATTACATGAGGGTCACTGTGGCAGGTACTTGTTGTCATGGCCAAGAAGCACATTTAAGGCAGCCAGAATGAACACGTTTTCCACACGTTCAGACACAAACTACACCCAAACCAAGCAGTTCTCGCGTTTGAAGCCCCATTTTTATTTTCCTTATTTTCAGAGGGGCAGGACCTGGCTGCCGTCCGACATCCTCTCACCTCGGCGGCTCTCTGCCGCGAGCAACATGACGGCGAGGTCCATGGCTCCCGCCGCCCTTCGCCGCTGCGGGCCAGGCTTCGCCGCGAGGGCCGTGAGGCGGCTCTACGAGACGAGCACGCCGCTTTGGGGGCGGTTTCCGATGAGCC